CTTGCCCAGCCAGGCTTGCCCGGTGCGGGTGCGGGGCGCTCCGAGATGGTGGGTCCGGCGGCGCGGGGAGCCCCTTTCTTTCGGCTCCTGCCCCTCCTCGCCCTGGCCTTGAGCGCCCTCCTGCACCCCACTTTCTCCACCTCCGGAGTCAGCCCCGAGGTGAGCCCGTCCTGGGGGAGCGTGTCTCTCTCTCTCTCTCTTTTTCCTGGGGGGGGTCCCCGATGCCCACCCCGTTGGCATGCTCCAGCAGACCCCCCTTTGCCTTCTTCTTCCTCCTCCCTCCAGGCTGGACCCTGTTTGCTCCTGCATCTCCCTGGCCGCCCCCTCCCTCTCGCCAAGTTTCCCTTCCTTCTCCCCCTTCTTTTGGCCTGCAACCCCCCCCAAAAAAAAACTCCCCTTCCCTTTCTGCCTTCCTGTGCCAACCTAGATTTCGCCTCGTTCTCCCCAACCCCCGTCCCATAATCCCGCTGCTTTGCAGTTTGCAAAAGTTTGCAAGGGGTTGGACAACAATTCCCAACTTTTTTTTTTTGGATTACAACTTCCAGGCTCTCCTAACCAGCACAGCCAGGGGAGCCTGGGAGGTGTTATTTTAAAAAAAGAGAGAGTTCACCTCGGCCTCCCCCCCACTCTCCTTTCATTTGAAATTCCCCTGTTGCTTCCTTCTGTGTCTTTCTTGTCTCCACTTGTCTGGACTGCAAAGAGGACTCCATTTCATTGCTTGCTTGGGTGTTTCACCCTTAACCCTTGAATTTTTCTGTATGCTTGGCTTCCTTTTTCTTGTTTTACAAAATTTGTCAACCGTGCAAACTTACTTTCTTTCTTTCTTTCTTTCTTTCTTTCTTTCTTTCTTTCTTTCTTTCTTTCTTTCTTTCTTTCTTTCTTTCTCTCTTTCTTTCTTTCTCTCTTTCTCTCTTTCTCTCTCTCTCTCTTCCTTTCTTTCTCTCTCTTTCTCTCCCTTCTCTGCTCCCAAATCTCCTTTCGGTCCTCTTCCTGGTGATGCCTTGGCTTTTACTGTCTTCTCAGACATATTTCATCAATGTACCATCTAACACTTTCACCTTTCTGCCTTCCTTCCTGGGCCGGTGTTTCTTTGCACAGATTTTTTTGTCTTCCACAAAAACCACACAACCTTACGAAGTTCCTTTCGATCTCGGCTAGTCTCTCCTCGATGTGATTTTTCCTTCTTGCACGACTGTCGATTATCCTTTCTTTTTCCTTAGCAGGTTCCCAAACCTGCCTGTCCCCCCGTCAGCCAACATTCCCATCACCTTTGCTCCTATTCTTTAATTCCTACTCCTTTTCCATCTGGTCTATCCATCGAGCGTCTCCTTTGCTCTTTCTTTCGCTGTCCTCCCCCCTCCTTTTCTTTTCTTTCCTTGAATGTGTTCTGCAGCTGGACAGAGAGATGGTATTTATATGCCAAGGCATTTTTTCTGTTCCATTCCTTCAGTTGCCAACTTTTCCCGTTCCCCCTTCTCTCTCTTGCACTCATGTACTCCTCTCTCTAATTTTGGACGCTGGCTCTTTTCTCTCTTGATTTTCCCTTCCAGTTACCTATCACCTTAAAAAAAAGAGAGAGAAGCTTCTTTGGCTTCTCCCCTAAAAGCATCTGGAGGATTGCATTCTAGCCAAACCTTCTCACTCTGCAAATCCTTTACAGTATTGATGGAATTTCTTCTTTTAAAACTCCTCTTTTGCTTCTTTTTATTTCCTTTTTTCTCTTTCTTTCCCTGTTTTGGAACAGTCTTATAGCTTCAGTTCCCTCCAACTTGCTGGTCTGGCTTGCTCGCTCAGCTGCCTTTCCTGTTCACTTTGTTTTAGTACTTTTTAACTGTACAACTATGTTTGTGTATTGGTGTTTTAGAATTATGGTATACGCCGCCTTTTGATCGTCCTAAAGCAGTGTACAAGAGTTAATTAAGATGGTCAGAGGGCCTCCTTCTGGATTTCCATTATTTCAACTGGCTTTCTCATCCCTTTGTGTTTATAGTTTGAGTTACGCCTGGGTCACCAGCCATTTCCTGTTCTGGACCCTTCCCACTCCCAGAATATACATAAGGGGTGGGAAACTGCTGGTTGGCCATATGTTGTGGACTTCTAACTCCTCAAAGTCCCAGCTAGCATAGCTGATTGTGAGGATTATGGGAGTTGTAGTCCTCAGAATCTGAGGGCTAGAGGTTGGTTACACATCCTTGATGTAGATTTCTTCCTATTTCTTTTTCCTTTGTT